GTAAATTTCAAAACCTCAAAATGTATTACTAAAATATTTTATGACTTAAGAAAACTTGTTTTTTAGTGCAAATGCCGCCGTCAGACGAGTCAGAAACAGAGTCAAAAAATCCCATCTCGATAGTGGATTTTTTGCCTTTTATCAAAAAATGAACTGAATTCGAAAAAAGCCAAAAGTTAAACAATGAAAAAGTAACCTTGAGTTAGAACAAATTTTCAGGCATCTGAAAAAAAAACCGAAAAAAATAATCATGAACTATAATAAAAGTCTGTTTTCATCTGAAATGTTTTCATCGACTCATAATTTGTCAGTCCGCAGTTTCCTGCACATTTAGCTGAATTGTTTTGAAACGATTTTAACCGATTGGCTCGCAGCAAAGTGTTTTCATCAAGCTATCAAAGCTATGAAACTTTGAATTATTTCAATTTGAGCCATATCGTAAATCGGTTTGAAAAACATAAGGTTTCGTAGAACGAATCGTCGGTTCTCGAAAAATTGAAGTTTTCTAAGCAAGCTATTCAAGCTGAATTTTTAAAATAATTCAAAATGTTTCATGAAGCAAGTCGGAAGGCGAAACTTTAGGTTTTTCAAGCGAAAAACATTGACTTATTTAAATTTGTTTCATAGAGCGAATAAATTCGCGAAAAAAGTGAAATTTTCAAGGCAAGCTAATGAAGCACGGAAATTTTGAAAAAATTCACGTTGTTCAATAGAGCGAATCAGTTGGCGAACAGTAAAAAATTTTCTTAGTAAGCTAATCAAGCGATTACTTTTTATAATATTTCATGTTACTTCACACAGCGAACTGATTTGCAAAAGTTTTAAGTTTTTCTAATCAAACTGTTAGAGCTATGAAACTTGGAATTATTTCAAAGTTTTTCATAGAATGAATGTTGGCTATTAATATTATGCTTTGAAACATTTTAGAACGAATTGGTTCACGGAAAGCTATAGTTTTTCTTAAGCAAGCCTCTCAAGCTATACACCTTTGAAACCAACCACAGCGAATCGGAAAGCGAAAAATAAAATTTATTTCGAAGCCGTTAAAAATCAATGGAACTTTGGTTTTTTGATATCAGTTCATAAACTTAACCGGATAAGAACTATTTCAATTTTTTTTCTACTGGAGCCAATCACGCGATGGAATTTCTAACTATTTCAAGTTTTTCTACTGGAGCCAATCACGCGATGGTATTTCTAACTATTTCAAGATATTTGACAGATCAAAGTGATTAGCAAAATAAAAACAAGTTTTGGTATGCTAGCTAGTTGGCCTAAGCTTTGATACGCGTCAACTTATCTCTTAGACCAAATCGGTTCACGAAAAGCCAGTTTTTCTTGAAAAAGCTATTAAAGGTTATGAAAGTTTGAATTATTTCAAGTTATTTTATGGGCCGAATCAGTTCGCGAAATGTTCAAGTCGTTCTAGCAGGTCGTTCTAAACAAGCATTTCAAGAAACTTTGAAGTATTTCATATCGTTCATTAGATCGAATCTTTTACAAAAAAAAATTATATATTATTCAGGCAAAAAAAAACATTTTCAAAATTTCAGATAATTGCCTGAAGCCAATCTGTTGGCAACAAATTTAAATGATTCTAAGCAAGCTAATTAAGTTATGAAACTTCAAAATACTTCAAGTTATTTCGAGAAGTTGAAATGGAAAAAAGGGCTAGCAAAAAATATAGCAGGCTTACAGTCTTCTAAGCAGCTTATTCAACCTATGTAACTTAGAATTTTCGAAAAAATTTGGTTGATCGAATCGGTTCGCGAAAAATTAAGTGTTTCTTAGCAGCAACCTTTTAGGGCTATAAAAATCTGAACTATTTCAAGTTAATTTACAGACTTAATAGGCTCAGGAAGTTGAAATTTTTCAAAGCAAGCCTTTAAAGCAATGAAATATGGAATTATTTCAGGTTGTTTCATAGACTGATATCGTTTTGCGAAAAACTTAAGTTTATCTCAGCGAGCTATTAAAGCTTTGAAAACTTTAAATATTTTAAGTTACTTTGCAAAAAGCTTGCTTGCAAAATGTTTGCAAAAGCTTCGCTTTAAAAAATTGAGTTTTTCGCAAAACGATTCGGTCTATGGGACAACTTGAAATACTTCAACGTTTTTCTGAGCACACGATGCATGCGATGAAACTTTTGAATTTTTCAAGTTATTTCAAGGAGCAAATCGGTTCGCGCAAAGTTTTTCTAAGCAAGCTATTGAGGCAATAAAACTTTAAATTATCTCAAATTTTTACAGAGAAAATCGATTGGAGAAAAGTAAATGTTTTTCTAAGCAAGCTATGCAAGCGATGAAACTTCGAAAAAATTCAAAGCAATTCATAGTGCAAATCGGTTTGCAAACAGCTAGTTTTTCTATCAAGGAGGTTGTTGTTTTTAGTTGATTCGTTTCAGAATGAAATCAATCTAAGAACGCAAAATTCTGAAAGAAATGGTCAGGCACTGTCTAGCCGTAAAAATGAATTGAGACCATCTTGTCTACAGAATTGAACTTTGGCAAAAAAACTATTCAAGAAAATTCCAGACTTAAGAAAATTTGAAAGTTGTAGAACATTCTAGGCCTTCTCTTAAACGTTCGGCTTTAGGAATTTTTTAAACGTTGCATTCGGCAAAGCTAAAACATGGCGTTCAGTTAAACTTTGCTTCCATAGCGCATTCGGAGTTACATTTAATATAAAAGATTACTAAAAAATTTTAGAATAGGTTTTGAGAAAACTAATTTTTAGTATAAATGCCGCCGTCAGACGAGTCAGAGTTTTATTACTAGTGCCTCATAAACCACACAAACAGATCACCCACACAGTTAGATTATCAGTAAGTTTCAAAATCTCAAAATATAGTACTAAATTATTTTATGACTACTTTATCAGAAAACTGTGTTTTAGTCCAAATGCCGCCGTCAGACGAGTCAGTGTTTTACTACTAGTGCCTCATCAGCCACAGAGTCAGATCACCCACACAGTCAGATCACCCACACATTCAGATCATCAGTAAATTTCAGTATCTCAAATCTCAAATATAATACTAAAATATTTATCCCACCTTTTTTGATTAAGGTTGGAGGGAGTGCGGTCTGTATTCAGACAACCGCGTATTCATACTCGTCAGTGAGTAGACAAAAACTATACTAACCAATCAGAATTGAGATGAGAAAGCAAACTTAGGAAATAATCAGTAACTAAATTCGCAAGTTTGCCCCTATCTCGATCCTGATTGGTTAATATAAAGTTTGTCTGCTTACTGACGAGTATGAATACGCGGTTGGCTAAATACTGTTACGTAACAATTCTAGAATATTCTAGACTTAAGGAAATTTGAAAGTTCTGGAACATTCTAGGCCTTCTTTTAAACGTTAAGCCTTAAGAATTTTTGAAATGTTGATTTCGGCAAAGCTAAAACATGGCGTTCAGTTAAACATTGCTTCCATAGCGCATTCGGAGTTACATTTAATATAAAAGATTACTAAAAATTTTAAGAATAGTTTTTAGGAAAACTGTTTTTTAGTGTAAATGCCGCATTCAGACGAGTCAGTGTTTTATTACTAGTGCCTCATAACCCACACAGTCAGATCACCCACACAGTCAGATTATCAGTAAGTTTCAAAATCTCAAAATATATTACTAAATTATTTTATGACTAGTTTATTAGAAAACTGCGTTTTAGTGCAAATGCCGCCGTCAGACGAGTCAGTGTCTTATTAGTAGTGCCTCATCACCCACACAGTCAGATCACCCACACAGTCAGATCACCCACACATTCAGATCATCAGTAAATTTCAGTATCTCAAATCTCAAATATAATACTAAAATATTTATCCCACCTTTTTTGATTAAGGTTGGAGGGAGTGCGGTCTGTATTCAGACAACCGCGTATTCATACTCGTCAGTGAGTAGACAAAAACTATACTAACCAATCAGAATTGAGATGAGAAAGCAAACTTAGGAAATAATCAGTAACTAAATTCGCAAGTTTGCCCCTATCTCGATCCTGATTGGTTAATATAAAGTTTGTCTGCTTACTGACGAGTATGAATACGCGGTTGGCTAAATACTGTTACGTAACAATTCTAGAATATTCTAGACTTAAGGAAATTTGAAAGTTCTGGAACATTCTAGGCCTTCTTTTAAACGTTAAGCCTTAAGAATTTTTGAAATGTTGATTTCGGCAAAGCTAAAACATGGCGTTCAGTTAAACATTGCTTCCATAGCGCATTCGGAGTTACATTTAATATAAAAGATTACTAGAAATTTTAAGAATAGTTTTTAGGAAAACTGTTTTTTAGTGTAAATGCCGCATTCAGACGAGTCAGTGTTTTATTACTAGTGCCTCATAACCCACACAGTCAGATCACCCACACAGTCAGATTATCAGTAAGTTTCAAAATCTCAAAATATATTACTAAATTATTTTATGACTAGTTTATTAGAAAACTGCGTTTTAGTGCAAATGCCGCCGTCAGACGAGTCAGTGTCTTATTAGTAGTGCCTCATCACCCACACAGTCAGATCACCCACACAGTCAGATTATCAGAAAGTTTCAGTATCTCAAAATATATTACTAAAATATTTATCCCACCTTTTTTTTATTAAGGTTGGAGGGAGTGCGGTCTGTATTCAGACAACCGCTTTTTCATGCTCGTCAGTGAGAAGACAAAAACTATACTAACCAATCAGAATTGAGATGAGAAAGAAAACTTACGAAATAATCAATAACTAATTTCGCAAGTTTGCCCCTATCTCGATCCTGATTGGTTAATATAATATTTGTCTGCTTTCTGACGAGTATGAATACGCGGTTGTCTCAATACTGTTACGTAACTAGTTTGAAGATAGTTAACTTGGCGCGAAAAGCTACCCCTGAAATAAAGTAAAAAATGCACCTATGCTGCTTCCGTGGTCGTTTTTTCATGGGACTTGCACATATGAAAGAGCATGAAGTTTTTGTGGAAACACGTGAGCGGTTTTCAAATTACGATTATGACAATGAATTGTACTTTAAGAATTCCTTTTCGAAAATTAGCCTTTCGAGGAAGCGCACTTAACTGAGTTGCGTGTTCCACCTGATAAAGATGAAAACTTGAAACAAAAACTCGTTAATAGAATAGTAAAACTAGTTTATAGAGTTTTTTTATTGGCAAATCAGCTATCTAACGATTGGATACATCATCCTCCTATCAAAATCATGGAGCGGTTTCCCTGAGCCAGTTTTCCTTGCGCTATTTCTTCAGTTCGTCCTAAAACAAAATAAATGACCTTAGCTGCAATTATAACCATCATCGAAGAACTGTTCATTTTTTTGCGCAAAATTTTAAAACCTAGCCAACAGAAGTGTAAAAGAACTCAAGGAAACTGAAAAAAAAACGAATGGAACTTTTGAATTTTTTTTTTCGAATTTTGTAGAAAAAAAATCAATCATGGTGAAATTCGACCCACTGATCACCCTGGTACCCATTTGGTCCGCGCCGAAAAAACAATATTTTCGGTCAAAAACTTCCAATAATTCCTAAAATTGAAATCGCTCGCCTACTTTTTCGAAAAATTTTTTGATCTATCCCTAATTTGAAAGTCAACAACTAATCGGCGGATCTAGGATTTTCTCAATAGGGGGGGATCGGATTTTAAAAAAAGTTTGAAAATTTTGTCGACCTTTTTTTTAGGTCGACCAAAATGATTTTCCGAGCTCTCTCAAAGCATTAAACAGACACTAATCTGAACAAAATTTCTGCGCCGCAGACAAATTTTTGAAAAAAGGCAAAAAAAGGCGTTTTTAGGCACTTTTTAGAAAATTTCGACCAAAAAATCGCGTTTTTTCGGCCTGCGCTCCCCCCTCAAAGTTAGTATAGATCGGATTTTTAGGGTCCGTCAGCAAATATAGATATCTCAAAATAGTACAAAGGGGGACCCTTTGGGTCGGCAGGGGGTCGAATCCCTGAGGGGGGAGGGGTGCGTCCGCCCAAAGCCCCCCCCCCCATTATCCGCCCCGTCAAGAACTGTTTATGATAAGCACTTTTTGGCTCTTTTATAATTGGCGCAATTTCCGCTGGGAATTAGGAAAATTAAACACATTTTTTGAAGTAAGAAATCATTCACGTTTTTGGTGACCTTTACATTTATGCTGTAAAGAAAATTAAAAGTCAAACCAAAAAAACTCATCAAAATTGAGCAAATTGAGCGTGGTCAAAAGACTTTAAAGTGGAAAAAGATTATCGCCACATTTATAAGTGACAATCACTTTATTCTCTTACACTTAAAATTTCGTTTTGCTGTGAATAAATTTTTCTGAACTTAGAAAAACAATCTGTACAAAACTGATATCGTCGAGTTCGTGAAATATAGTTTAAAATATCTTCGAGATTCAATGAATAGGTATAACTAGTCATAACCGAACCTCCATGACTGAAGAATTTCTTCCCTAGAGCTTCCGTCACCACCTCTTCCACCTTCTTTTCAATCAACCCGTCCTTTAGCCCGACACTACTCTCCAAATCTCGTGATATTGTCTTCTCGATTTCTTTTGATCGTGAGATTTGACCCCTTAGTTGCGTATTTCTAATGACGTCACGAATGGACACTTCGTTTGTATCGAAAAGGCAGACCTAAGAACAATATTAGACACATGAAACGTAAGACAAACTTCAAAAACAATTAAAGAAGCATAAGACAAATTTCAGAAACAATCAGGGATTCGACCCCCTGCCGACCCAAAGGGTCCCCCCTTTGGTACTTTTTAAAAAATCCTTTTTTGGCCGACCGACCATAAAATTTTTCTAAAGGCGCCTTGGGCGCCAATTTATACTAATTTTGAGGGGGGAGCGCGCGCCGAAAAAATGTGATTTTTTGGTCAAAATTTTCCAAAAAGTGCCTAAAAACGCCTTTTTTGGATTGTTTTTTTTTTTCAAAATTTTGCCTGCGGTGCAGAAAATTTGGCCAATTTCGGTCGATCTAAAAAAAAGGTCGACAAAATTTTCGAAACATTTTTGAAAATCCGCCACCTGACTAAAATGCTGACTAAAATGCTGATAGTACATTCCCTTTTAATCGTGATCACACTCAGGAAAAACCTCAATCTCGCCACACAGATAATTCAACTACAAATGATTAACATCATACCAAAATCAGCACTATTAGCAAACTAGACAAACAAAATAAACTTCAACACAGAGGCGGACTTTCGCTTCGCAAACACTTTCGAGAAGACAACAAAAAGCAGCTTGATAAAGTTCAAAATGAAAAATAGAAATAAGCCTCGAATTAACAAAAAAAAATCGGCTACGTCTGAAATTCGAACCTGCCACCTTGCAGTTAAGAGTCACACACACCTTTCACTCAGTCACGGAAGCTTAATTGTAGCTCTAAGATAGAAGACTAAAGAAGAGCCGCAAATAAAACAGAGAACAGATGCTATGCAATTTCCAATGCTACAGTGAAATTTCCAAATAAGTGAACACTTTTTTTGCCGAGTTAGGTTAGAAAAAAAGGTTCTTAAATAACACACTAAGCTGACGCTAGTGTAAACAAAGAATCTCAAGAAAAAATTTCATGAATTACTAAATCGACAAACAAAAAGAATTTTAGAAATGAAGAAAAGTATGAAAACTAGATCGGTAAATAAATTTGTTATTTTGGCTGGAAAATCTGAAAATAAAACTCCAGTTCCAAAACTGAATTCGATCACGTCTTTCGAGACCTTTACACTTTCGCTGTTCAATAGTGGAGTTTGCCTTACTTTTAACAATGGAAACGCACCGAACTTAAAAAAGCATCAAAGTCAAACCGCGAAAAACTCAAAAGTTAGCGTGAACAAAATTTATAACTTTTCCTGGAAAAAAAAACGAAAAGAACACAAAAATTTGCGAAAAAGTGAGGGGAGTAGAAATTGATCTTATACAAACAAGCATTGCTTGTACATACACACTGACGGGTGGCTTTACAGGGGAATGTGTAGAACCTGGGAAGACGCTTACCTTGAGGTGTCCGTCTGCAGTGAGTCTGAGTCTGTTGCAACCACCGCAGAAGTGATTAGTCATAGATGAAATGAACCCAAATGAACCGCAGAACCCGTCCACTTTGTACGACTAAAATCCAGTTAATATCTTTCGCTCAAAAACTATTCACTTCTTTGATGATTTGATTCTTCACTTAAATGATGGATTCCTATTCACCCCCAACCGAGCGAACCCTAAGAGAATAAGGAAAAAATTATAGTGTAGGGTGTTTTTCCAAAGCATTTTGGCTACCTCAAGAAAACTCGCAGTGTGAAGGTGATACCATATAAAAAGTCCTTTCAACCGTCACTGAAAGAAAAAAAAATGACCATATGCTCATTTCAAGACTATTTCTACAAAAAATACAATCAGTTTCGAAAAACAGAACTTCAGATCTAACGGCTTCCTCTCAATCTTTTGTCAGTCAATAATTTTGCTTCTTTTTGTTTGTTTTAAATAAAACTGCACTAGATAGGAAATAATTTTTACAGAGGCCATGCTGGGATTCGCAAACACTTGCGAGAACACAACCAAAAATCATTCTTTCAAGTGGAATAAGAAAAGTAGAAATAAGCTGAATTAGCAAAAACTCGGCTACGTGTACAATTCGACTCTACGGCCTTGCAACTTTGAGTCTCACGCACTAACCACTCAGCCACGGATGCTTAAATTACTCAAAAACTAGCCACGCAAACAATCAAGGTACATATGCAAATAAATTGCCAATTTGATACCGTAAAAGGGGCACCAAACACAAAAAGATACAATTTTGCACGTAATAAATTGGAAAGCATAAAGCCGAATTATGTATAAATTAAGCATTTCAAAAAAAAACACGAGATACATTGCGTTGGAAAATTTCTGAAATTGAGCTTCTTATCAGTGTACTGCTGTTTGAAACAATTAACTTTTTTCGGTCCATTTGATGAAGTAAAAATGCATCACTGTGTTAACTTTTTAATGATCAAATGTTACAGCACATGATACTGCACATCTACCACAACTTGGAAACAAATTGGAAAATTTGAATGCCATTTTGTCATATTGGGTTGACAATAGACGACAAAAAATCAAGAACAATTGCAATGATACAAAAATTAAAATAATGCAAACTAATTTGTGAAATTCAGGAAATTATATCTAAATTAGCCTCTTATGTAGCACAACAAGTATTAGCAAAGGTATAAGCTCTAAAAGTTTACGCAAAGTTTATTTACAAAAATAAAGGTTTCTATGGTAGGATGGCACTTCTAGACTAGACTCACTTTGATATAAAAACTAGACTCACTAGTAGTAGAAGGGTGAGCTGATCAGGGGGGGGGGGGGGTGGTTGGAGACCCCCATGTATTAAGATAGGGAATAGAGTATCCGGTCTCCAAGCTATGTATTAAGATTGGGTATAGAGTCTACAATGTATTAAGATAGGGAATAGGTTTCCCAATGTATTAAGATCGTAAGGTTTCATATGGTAAGGTTTCAGATGGTAATTATTTTTCGGCGCCCGAATTTCCCATGTATAGATTTCGCTATGTATAGGAAATTCATTGTAGGTAATTAAGAACTCATTAGCGAATATGATTCCTAATGTATTACGATGATAGCTTTCCCAATGTATTACGATGGTAGGTTTGAGATGGTAAGATGGTAAGTTTCAGAAAAATTTTTGGCGCCCGAATTTTTTGAGCTCGATTTTGCCGATACTTGCGTTTCTTAGCTAACTTCTACGATTTGTGATATGTAAGGACTATCATGTCTTACAAAAATTCGGTATGGTAAGTTTCAGAAAAATTTTTTAAATTTTTTTTAAGTTTTACTTGCAAATACATTTTTATCTTGAAAAAACAATTTTTTTATTAAAAATTGAAAATTTTTTTTTGGATGGTAAGTTTCAGATGGTAAGTTTCGACGAAAATTAAGTTTCGATTTAAGAGTATGGGATCATAAACTAATATATCACGGAATATTTTTTTTCTCGAAAGAATCTTAAATTCTTATTTCATGTTATTTATTTTCCCTCAGGTTATCTGGGGAAAATTGTCAAGAGGGGATTATCTTTGACAGGTTAGTTATTCCGCTCCACGGGATATCAGGGGAATCTTGACAGCTCCTCATGGTTGATTACTTTTATATCCTACTTAATCTTTTTTCCGCAGGTTATCTGGAGAACGGATGACAGGTTCATTACACTTGTTAATTTTATGACTTATTTTATCTTTTTTTCACATAATTATCTCACTTATTTTTACCTCAATTGGTTTATTTATTCTGTCATATTGCTTGCTACGATTCATTTCAGTTCTCTTTTATCACTTTGTCTTTAATCTTTAAAAAATTCTTTGAAATTTCCAAATTTTCCAAAAAAAAATTATCATCCAAATTTATCAATTTCTCTGCCACGGTAAAAGTTTACACTGAGAAAAACATAGTATCATATTTTTTTTTGGTTCTGATAATTTTGTGTAATAATTTTTCCATCTTTCTCAGAGTAAACTTTTAAGAAAATTATACAATTTACTAGAAATTGGTTACAATTTTCGTAAATTTATCTACTCCATCATTAAATCTTTCAATTGGGGGACTACAACATCCATATTCCATCATCATTCTCCGTATTTCATCAAAGGGTTAGTTGCTAAGATGCTTTTCGTAAAAAATCTAAGGAATTTAAAAAGTTAAATTACATAAATAATCAAACAATTCACTACATCGTATAGTAAAATTACTGCAAAAATTTACACTTACAAAAAAAATGCACTTTTACATAAAATTACTGATAAAGTTCAAAACATACACATCATGAACATTATTCAAGTTCTTTTGGAAGAATTTAAAAGGAGAAACGCTGAATAAATTGCATAAAAACCACACAAATTTTCAGTCTTTTGTAGCTTTCGAAGAACCATTCGTCGAAACTTTTTCGTCAAAAAGGGGTAATTTGATCTCTTCCTTCCCAAAGAATCTGCAAAGTAGTAGCTTTTATTCATTCGAGCAATCATAATCCAGTGTTCTCCTCTATCATTGCTTGGGGCTGAGTTAATAATTGCAAAAGAGTATTTTGTTAGTTGAGGTACTGTATCAGAAGGGTATGATCCCATGTACTTGAACCTGAGCTCTGGAATTCTTTCAATAATTTGCAAAATTGAAATGTTATCCATCTTTGCAATTGTAGGCTGATTTACAGCTAAAAATGAAATTGATAGTTTGATAGTGTACTTTAGGTTTAAAAAAGAGGAAGAATAATGACTTACACACATTTAGGAATTGAATCAACAAAGTCCCATACACAAGCTTTATATAGTGGGCAAAGTTTATTGAATACTGTTTTACAGTCTAGGTTGAAGAAGTGTCTCGGGTTTTCAACTAAACAGCATTCCTTCTCTATTTTTCTCGAGCTTTAGGTCTGAAGAAAAACAAAATAGATAGTACAGAGATAATAACAAAGAAAAGTCCCAAAAAAGTTACAATATTTTTATAGGAACCTGAAAACTCAAAAAAATTAAACATTTTTAGCGACTGTTCCGAATTTGTCAATTTGAATATTTGATAGACTTTCTCCCAAGACTATCACTTCCGTTACTTGCTCCAAGGGAAATTGGAAAAACATTTCTAATCTCAAGCTTTCTCCACTAAGTTCTGGATAATGCAAGTGTTCAGCGGCATCCTGTAGTGAAGTCAAGTCGAAAACTAGAATATAGTGATTTTGAAAATCTTCCATAGGAAGAGCTGGAAAATCTTCGTTAAACTGCATTGCTTTCATTGTTGTAACATAGGGTCGACAAGGAGAAATTGTTTCTAATGAAATAATTGCTCTTCCACCCCGAATAATTCTAAGCTCTCTCAAATGAAATTGTTGATAATTGAAAGGATTTTCATAAAAAGATCCCGTAACAGCCGAATTTGTATTCATTGCAACAGCTATCCTTCTGATTGGGGCATTATTGAAAACGTTTTCCTGAATAAACTGGTTTTGACGAGATGGAATGATAAAGGTTCTTGCTATAGTTTCCATGTAATTGTAATGAGCAGGTTCCCTTTCCAGATTCCATTGCAAATATTGATGATTAGGTTCAGCTACTAAAATTCTTCTTGTAAACAGTGAACAATCAACTATTTTCAGACTGACATTTGGATTATCAGATAACATGTAAAAATTAGGTCTAGCTCGAATAAGTTTAATTCGAACTTTGGTATTTGGTAGCAACAGTTTTTCGCAAGTAAACAAATCAATGACGAGCCTCCCATAGAGTGAAAAAGTTATCCCTGTTCCCAAGGAATTTGATCTATCAGTGAATGAATACATATCAAATGCATCAGGATTTTCTTCAAAACTGTATCCATGACAAGCAAGAATTCCTTTATTACTCACTGCTGACGAGTTGAATTCGTTCGATATCTGTGCCTTATGAGGATATAATCCATTGGCATTGTAAACCATTGTATTGTTAAAATAAACTTCACAGTTGGAGAATAGAGAATGTAGTAGATTGTTTACATAAGTTAAGTAAGTTTGTGGTTCCTCATCTGAATCTTCCTCCGATTTTGCTTTATGTTCTGCTTTTTCTTTTTTGAAAGCATCAAACAATCTTCCTTTGAAAAGTTGAAGCTTTAAGCTAAGATGGGTATCACCCATATCCAAGTAGAGATTACGATCCGTTTCAAATTCAAACTCAATACTGCTTTCATCCAGAGAAGTACTGGGGAATACTTCTTGTGTGTAAGATGACATAATTGTTTCCAAAACTGCGAGTTTATCAAAAATCTCCAAAGAGGAATTTGTAAACGCTCCGTACCGAAAATGACTACTTTGATTTACACTCATTTTATCTTGTCAAAAATGTCTTTGCGAGAGCGACTGATTTTTGAACTACTCTTTCGAGAAATGGTTCTTCTTGTTCTACGATTGGATTTCTTTTTTCCAACTCCCAGCTGTTTTCGAACTGTTTTTGTTCCAACATCTTTTGCAAACGTTTTGAGTTTTTTTCGTCCACTGACAATTTCTCCAATCTCTGGAGCGGCAATTTCAAATAAATCTGCTCCGATTCTTTTTGCAGCTGGGACTATATATTTTTTAATGAAAGGAATTGCAGTTA